GTCACTGCTTATGTACTGGTTTTTGTGTGGCAGGAGGAGGAAGAAGAAGCAGAAGCTTCATCTGTTGAAACTTCAACGAGGAGTCTCAACGTGGCGAGTAAACGGAGAAGGAAACAACCGGTTAGCTCTGGGAAACGAGGTGGTGTTAACGACTACGACATGTAAGCTTAGAGTCTTTAGCTTTGTCTTATGAAGAATTATATAATCTTGTAATAGAAACTTGCTTTGCGTCTCATGAATCAAGATCATCTTTCATAGTTTCATATCAATCAAACTAGACTATTCTTAAGCTAGTAAGACTCGAGCTAGACTTGGATTCTGAGAAAGGGTAAGAGAAAATGAGTATGTGATCGATCACCTTCTACTGCTTAGCTCGCTTTGCAAGATAACTTGTAGCCATTCTGGAGAACCGAGTGATAGTGAAGAAGAGTTGCCATAAAGAACGTCCCTTTACGATCCCTTCCTTTAAGTTCCTCGCTGTTTTAGCCACCTTTGGTTCTGTTTCCTCTGCCTTGGTTTGATGCATCACCTCCTGCATTGAAGCTACTGATGAAGTAAAAATGGAGTTAACCGTAAACTCCATAGTTTGAAATGAGAGTATTGAAGTGATGGCTAAACCTGGATTCGTGTTTGTTAACCGTCTTAGTCTATCTTCAGCTACGCGAATAGCCCGTGTCGAGCTTTTAACACCTTGAGTGATCCCTTGTCTACAAAAGAATGAACACAATGTTGACGAATTAATACGAACTGGCAAGTTATAGTGGAAGTGAGCAAAAACAGAAACAAACCCTAAATCACTGAGCTCCATTGTTAAGTCACTGATCTCCATTCCCGATAATCGAACAGCAGCCATTGTATCTGGTAGCTCTTCTCTGGTTACATCCAAAAGCTTTTCAAGAGACTCAGCTGCTTTCTTGAAAGCCTTTTTCCAACATTTCAAAGCAAAACAAGACAAAGAAATCAATCCCCCAAATATCCATCAATGAGCTAAACAAAATCTGTAAAAAAGCAGAAATGTTTCAGAACTAACCAGAAGTGTAGGAATTGCAGCTAAGAATAGCCATGATGCTGAAATTGCTGTCTGCAACAGATATCACGATTCAATGGTCGAAATCGAATTCGAAAGAAGCTAAAAATCGATTGATTGACCCTAGAGGAGAAATGCGTAATACTGGAAAACCTAAATCCAAGTGAAATCAAGTTTAAAATTAAGGCGATGGTTTCGAAGATGAATACAGAGACTTACTACGCAAGCGACGACATTGAGGAAGACGAAATGTTTCTGCGTGAGTGTCCATTGAGAGAGCTGGAGAGGAGGCTGTCCCACGGACGATGTCAGACGAGAAGAGACCAATGGATCGGAAGATTCCTGCGGATTTGAGTACTGCGAGGGAGAAGAAGACGCGATTGAGTCCGTAACCTTCGCGAATCGTAAAGTCGGCGAAGCTTGCCGGAGAGTGTACCGGCGGCGAAACGAGAGATTTGTATCGACGAATCCGTGATGATGAATCGGATTCAAGAAGATTGGAGATTTGGGCGATTGCAGTTTCGAAGTGAGAAACATGGTGTGATGGTTTTGAGCTCTATTCGTCAGAACTCCATTGTTTAAAGCTTGTAGTTGATAACAATGGAAGTTTAGAGGAAACTACAAAATTTTCGTGACCCAAAAAAAAGAAGAAACTATAAATTTTCAAAAGAAGGTCCTCTCATAATGCTTTAATTAGCTAAAACACCGCATACTACTATTTGAACTAATTTGGTCCTAAATTTATAGGCCCATTGGACCCTTAAAGCAAGGGAAATAACGTTGGGCTTTTGTGCACTTTACCAGTTACTACTCACTCACTAGTGGACGATTATTTTGTTTTGTTTTGTTCAATATATATTGCTGAATTAAAAGATTACAAGTTTTTAATTTCTTATAAACTAATTATTTTAACATAAGATTTTGATTAAAAAAAGCAAATAAAAATCCCTATCAACTTTTTAAAAATTTATAAAAATAGCTTAGAATTTTTATTTGTAAACATGGAATGTGAAGGATCAAAATACCTAATTAGGTTGATACATAAAAAACGATGGAAGCCGCCACAAGGTCCGTCAAACTTCCCTCACATCCAATTTTCAAAATATATTTATTTTGATCAAAAATAAAAG